ATTAAAAAAATAAATAAAACATCATATTTAGTAAATATGAAAAATAAAAAAATGGATGAACTAATTTTTTTTCTAACTCACCAAAATCAATCCCTCCAAAATCGAAAAAAAAGTACTTGAAAAATTAATTATTTGTGTTGAGATGTATCTTATTTGTCTATATATTTTTTAATATATATATATATATATAATTAAAAAATAAAATTAAAAATTAAAAAATATATTTTTTTTCATTGTAATTAAGAGTAAAAATTTTCAACTTAACACAATGACACGAATCAAACTCGACACGAATTTTATGATACGAGTTGATTATAACTCGATACGAACTTGAAAATAACCTGTCACGCGAATAAGAAATATAAATGACTTATATTCAGTTCAACCAGTCAAACTCAAAATTGATACTATCAACCTGTTTATTTAAAAAAATATATTTTCTCATTTGTGTGGTAGTACGAAACTAACATGTTTAACTAGTATTATAAANAAATATAAATGACTTATATTCAGTTCAACCAGTCAAACTCAAAATTGATACTATCAACCTGTTTATTTAAAAAAAATATATTTTCTCATTTGTGTGGTAGTACGAAACTAATATGTTTAACTAGTATTATAGACATAAAATATTAATTATTTGTAACTATGTATTAAGTTGTGACATAACTATTATATAAAAAATATTTTTATTTATTATTATTATATTTATTTAATTTAATTTTTAGTTTGTAGAAAAAATATTAACATGGATTCAATTAAGTAAAAATAAAATATTAACTTTAAATTTTTTATTCAAAGTTTATGTAAATCAACAAGAATACGAGCACGAACATGAAAATGAACAGGTCAACTCGCAACTCGTCACGACACAATTAATTAAATAAGTTGAGTTAGGTTTGATTAATATTTAAAACAAATCCGTAATAATTCAACACGCCGACTCGATTATCACCCCTAATTTTAGCCAGCACAAAAAAAAAATATTTTTATTTTCAATTCTTCCAACCAAACAAAAAGGAAGGAAAATGTATCATTCCTACTTTTCTTACTTGAATGATAAAAAGTATATTCCNAAAAATATTTTTATTTTCAATTCATCCAACCAAACACAAAGGAAGGAAAATGTATCATTCCTACTTTTCTTACTTGAAGGATAAAAAGTATATTCCTCATACTTTTTATCCTTCCTATTTTTCATCATTCTTACCAAACGGAGTATAAAAATACCCTAACACAAAAAAAAAATCAATTTCANTAACATGTTTAACTAGTATTATAAACATAAAATATTAATTATTTGTAACTATGTATTAAGTTGTGACATAACTATTATATAAAAAATATTTTTATTTATTATTATTATATTTATTTAATTTAATTTTTAGTTTGTAAAAAAAATATTAACATGGATTCAATTAAGTAAAAATAAAATATTAATTTTAAATTTTTTATTCAAAGTTTATGTAAATCAACAAGAATACAAGCACGAACATGAAAATGAACAGGTCAACTCGTAACTCGTCACGACACAATTAATTAAATAAGTTGAGTTATGTTTGATTAATATTTAAAACAAATCCGTAATAATTCAACACGCCGACTCGATTGTCACCCCTAATTTTAGCCAGCACAAAAAAAAAATATTTTTATTTTCAATTCATCCAACCAAACACAAAGGAAGGAAAATGTATCATTCCTACTTTTCTTACTTGAAGGATAAAAAGTATATCTCTCATACTTTTTATCCTTCCTATTTTTCATCATTCTTACCAAACGGAGTATAAAAATACCCTAACACAAAAAAAAAAAAATCAATTTGAAAATTTATGTCCTTTGATTTAATTAGTGAAATAAGGGAAATACTATGTGACATAAATTTGCAATCCAAATTTGCAACTCCAATTAACGGGATCATTAGATCAGTAGGTCTCATCAATTTTTTTAAATAGGATCTAATGATTCAATGGTCCCCCTTCATTTGAGATGCAAATGTAAGTTACAGATTTGGATTACATAGCATTACTCGTGAAATAAATACCAATCTAGACCCTCTTATTTTTTTGAAAAATAGAAATNTTGAAAATTTATGTCCTTTGATTTAATTAGTGAAATAAGGGAAATACTATGTGACATAAATTTGCAATCCAAATTTGCAACTCCAATTAACGGGATCATTGGATCAGTAGGTCTCATTAACTTTTTTAAATAAGATCTAATAATTCAATGATCCCCCTTCATTTAAGATGCAAATTTAAGTTACAGATTTGGATTACATAGCATTACTCGTGAAATAAATACCAATCTAGACCCTCTTATTTTTTTGAAAAATAGAAGTGATAATTTTTTAAGAAAAGAATATGTATAAGATAAAAATTCAAATTGTAAGGTATTTTATTTATGTCTATTTTAAAGATTAAATATAATAATTTAATTAATAATACTCATATATTCTTTAACAACTGCAATAAATCAAATGCTTGATTAGATCTCCAAGTTATGTTGTCCCACAACGACACTCCCTCCTTTTTTTTCTTCTGTTTCTTCTTCTTCTTTTATTGATTTATGGGGATTGGTTTTGGGGCAGTATAGGTAACAATTGTACACTTATCAAAATATTTTCTAAATTTAAATTTTAAATTAATATGAGTGATTGGATAAATAAATTCTATTAATTTTTCAAATTCAATACAATTAGTTGCATCAATAGATTTTATAGAAAACATCTAAAATTTAAGATTTAATTTTGAATACAAAGTGTCATTCTTTCCACTGACTTTAATTCGGAGAGACAATTCGATAATATTGGAAAGAGCAAAAATAATAAGTGAAGATAGATAGAATCGATAGAGTCAATAAGTTATCAAAAATATGTGATGAAATTCAAATCCTAACGGTAGATTGCACGATACAAATTAGAGAAAATTTAATTAAAAAAAAATTGAGAGAGAATAGTAAATCGGAGAAACTTTTAATGTAAATGGAGAGTAACATGAGATACATACAGGTGTGTTCTTCTCATGCTTAGGCCCATACTTTTAGGCCACATGCATTAGTCCAAGCGAATTGATTGTTTAAGCAGTAAATTAGTGGGCTGGCTGAGATGGAATGGGGTGGGGGTTGCACATAGAAAACAGTTTCCTTTGACTGAAAGGTCCTTTGAAAGTCTANTAGGCCCATACTTTTAGGCCACATGCATTAGTCCAAGCGAATTGATTGTTTAAGCAATAAATTAGTGGGCTGGCTGAGATGGAATGGGATGGGTTGCACATAGAAAACAGTTTCCTTTGACTGAAAGGTCCTTTGAAAGTCTATACACTAAATTAGACATAATTGTAAAAAAATACACAGAAAAATTGTGTTGTAAAAAAATACACTGCCGAGATACAAAGACTTAACTGTCTATTTTCTAAAATTTATTTTCCTATAACAATTTTAAGAATATATATTAAAATTAATTAGGTATACAGTGATAAGACTTTTTTTTCGAAAAACGTTAGATTTTAGGAACATTAATTCACGAAAAGCTTCATCTTTGAAAAAATGGTTATCGCTTTTTTTTTTCCTATCTAAAAAATTGCTTCATTTTCCTTGGTAAGAAGCCTTAAATCATTCACTAAACATCTACAGGTTTTCGTCTTTAAAAAGCAAATCCTACTAGTCTGCCATTGTACATGTAAGTTTGTCAACAATATCTACTGTCATATTAATTTATTGTGTGTGAATAAATTATATGTATTTCTTAATTGCTNTTTTTTTTTCCTATCTAAAAAATTGCTTCATTTTCCTTGGTGAGAAGCCTTAAATCATTCACTAAACATCTACAGGTTTTCGTCTTTAAAAAGCAAATCCTACTAGTCTGCCATTGTACATGAAAGTTTGTCAACAATATCTACTGCCATATTAATTTATTGTGTGTGAATAAATTATATGTATTTCTTAATTGCTGACTATGTTTTTCGCATAGTATAACAATACAGTATAACACTATAACACAGACAGTGTTCAATGATTTTGTGGATATGATAACAAATTCAAAATATAGCTGAATTGTTACAATGAAGTTATATACAAATATATGTTTGACAAAATATAATAGTAAAGTTTTTTGTGTAAGTAAATTTTTACATTGTTATAATTACACTGTAACAGTGAAGTGTTAAAGTATTCGCACATGCATGAAGAACTTTGGTTTTGGTGTTCACATCTAAAAAAACAATATAATCGCATTTAAAATGATAGCCACAAACCTAATGGAGTCATGAATTTAAATATTGTAATTACTTAGATTGAATGATAAGGATGAAATAATATTTCAGACTTACACTGATAAATTGCTTCCAAGTTGNTTGAATGATAAGGATGAAATAATATTTCAGACTTACACTGATAAATTGCTTCCAAGCTGAAGAAGAAGAAGAAGAAGAAGACAACAAATGATACTATTGCAAAATTTAAAATTTAAATCAACTGATTTATCCTCAAAATAAACAAAAGAATTAAATCTTCCATTAAATTAGGAGATTTTTAATGCAGAAACATAATTTGAAAAAAAAAATAGTTTCAAAACATAATCGTATGATTTGAGGGAGGACATGAATGTCAAAGAAAAATTCGAAAATTTTAAATTATGTAGTTGGACACAATTAAGATCTAAAATTAAAGACTTTTTGACTTTACATTTTTTTATTATATTTTTTTACAATTATAATGTACCCCATTTATTGTACCGTTAATTTAACATGCATTCAAAAATTGCATTAATGGGCTTAAACAACCAGATATCCAGTCAGGTCAGCCCAATTTGGTGGATGCTGGTTTAGTTGTACATTAGACAAACTTATGAATAGAGGGGAGAGGAGGGCTTACAACTTACAGGAAAAGGATATGGTGGTTAGTATTTTAATGACTCCAAAATTAAATTAATTTAACGGGTAAGGTGGTTGTGGTTCGTTAGAAAAAATCTAAATCTTACAAGACTTTGCTTAGAGAACAGAACCATGGCGTTCTCTTCTTCACTGCTCTTGCTTGTTCCTCCAACTCCAAAACTTCACTTCCCATCGTCGACATACCTCTCGCCCATCTCCAGTGGAATCCTCTGTCCTATTTATAGGGTTTCGACTGCCAATAGACGGATAAAGTGCCAGGCTACTGGAGACACCTCTCAGTTCGATCCAACGGTTTATCAAGGAGTTTACGGTCCTTGGACTGTCGATCCCTCCGACGTTCGAGAGGTAACCAACACTCTTTCCGAATTTAGTCGTCTATGTATGTCACTTTTTTGTAAGTTGGCCTTTAAGTAATTTGAGCTTATGATGGCCTTATATGCTTCTGTACAGTACAGCAGTGACAAATGAATTTTTGTTATTTTAAAATTTTCTAATTTGATATGTAAATGCTGTTCGTTTCTCTGCCTCTGTGGAATTCGATGTTGGTTACTATTCGATTCGTATGTTTATGTGTCTCGCAATTATGCTGTGAAACTCGGAACATATCACTAGGGTCAATTTATGCATACGAACTTTGGGAATTTCTCTTCTTTCTGGATTCCCACTAGGCTGATGTTAACTTACCTTGCATGTTAAATTTCTTCGACTTACTAATTTTCAGTTGAAGGCACTGGTTTTTTTTTTTTTTGTGTTGTTCCTTTTTACATATTTGAGATGTCAAGTTCTAAAGTGTGTCGCACATACTCGGTAGAAACAATGATCGCAAGGCATGCTTGTGGATAAACTAACACTTGGAACAGTGGTTAGAGCATTATACATGTAGAGGACAATTTAGGGAGTGGTGTGGGGAAGGAAACTTTCAGGGTTGGGAAGGCATTAAATTATGAAAAATCTAGAATATGTGAAGCAGGAGGTAAAGGTGTGGGANCTTGGAACAGTGGTTAGAGCATTATACATGTAGAGGACAATTTAGGGAGTGGTGTGAGGAAGGAAACTTTCAGGGTTGGGAAGGCATTAAATTATGAAAAATCTAGAATATGTGAAGCAGGAGGTAAAGGTGTGGAATAAAGAGTGTTTAGGGATATTAGGGTTACAAAAAGTCTAATCATGGATAGAATTGGAGAGATTGATAAGATAGTAGAGGGTCACATTAAGTGAGAATTTGAGAATGGAGAGATGGGAGTTAGGGAATAATTTTGAGGAGGTTATGTTCAAGAAAGAAATTAGTTGAAGGCAAAAGACTAGAGTGAAGTGGTTGAAAAAAGGAGATAATAATTCTAAAATTTTTCATAGGATTGCAAATGGAAAGAAGAAGAAGAAATTCATGGACAACTTGGAATTGGAAGGTGAGAGGATTATTGAGGATAAGGGGATATTGAAAGTAGCATTGTTGAGTTCTTTGCCCAATTATATTCATCTCAAAAGGATGATAAGCCTACAGTGAGGCTAAATCTAGATGGATTTAAAGACCTTTTAAAGAAGAAGAAGTGAGAATGTCTATTTTTGAGTGTGGATGAGATAAAGTTTCTAATGTTGATCGTTTCACCTTGGCCATTTTTCAAGACTGTTGGTATATAGGTAAGAGGTATTTGATGAAAGTTTTCTTCGAAAGTGGTGTTATTAATGCAAACAAATACTTTTTTCATTTTTTTTTATCCCAAAAAGGACAAATCTATGAAAATTAGGGATTTTATACTGATAAGCTTGGTAACTAGTCTTTATAAGATTATTGCTAAAGAGTTATCATTGAGACTAAGAGAGACTCTTAGGGATACTATCTCTGAGTTCCAAGGTGCTTTTGTTGAAGGTAGACAAATTTTTTATGTTGCTTTAGTGGCTAATGAGGTAGTGGAAGAATATATAGTTATAGGAAAAGAGGGTTTTGTGTTTAAGATTGATTTTGAAAAGGCCTATGATCATGTGGATTGGGATTTTTTTGATTATGTTTTGGAGAAGAATGGCCTTGGATGTCGATGGAGGAGGTGGATTAAGGGTTGTTTGCAATTTATGAACTTCTCTATTATGATGAATGGAAAACTAAGGGGGAGATTTGCGGCATCATCTAGAGGATTGAGATAAGGGGATCCTTTATCACCCTCTCTCTTTGCTCTAATTGCATGCAGATGGGTTCAGTAGGTTGGTAAGAAGGGCTGAAAGGGTTAATTTAGTGGAAGATTTATTGTGGAGAAGGATAGAGTGTCCGTTTTTTATTTGTAGTTTATATTTTTTTCAGTGGGTGATGAGGAAAAAATGTTAAATTTTAAGAATATTGCGGAGGTGTTTAGGATATTTGGATTGAAGGTGAATATGAATAAGAGTTTACTTGTGGATATAAATTTACATCATGATAAGATCTCTAGAATAACAGAACTTGTAGGGTGCAAGGTGGGGGAGTGACCTATGAAGTACTTAGGTTTACCATTGGGTGAGAATCTTTTGTCTTCATCTTTTTGAGTGCCTATTATGGAAAAGGTGAAAAAAAAAGATTAGACGGATGGAAAAGGGCTTTAATTTTCAAAGGGAGTAGGTTAACTTTAGTTCAGTCTGTCTTATCTAGTATTCTCATATATTTTTTATCTTTGTTTAAGATACCAGTAAAGATTACTTTGAAGATCAAGAAAATGATGAGAGATTTTTTGTGGAAAAAAAGTGGAAAAGGGAGGAAGGATCACTTAATTAGTTGAGAAGTGATTTCTAGATCTAGGGCTAAAGGAGGTCTTTCAATTGACAATTTGAAGGTAAGAAATATAACTTTAGTGGGTAAGTGACTGTAGAGGTTTCCCTTAGAACATAATTATTTGTGGTGTTTAGTTATTAAGAGCAAATATGGATTGCAGGTTAATGGATGGGATGTTAAAAGGGTTGAAAGATACATTTACCGATGCTCATGGAAATTTGTATGGCATGAATTGCCGGCATTTTTTCAAAATCTACTTTTTGGGGTGGGTAAGAGAGACAAAGTTCATTTTTGGGAGGATATATGATTTTTTTTTTTGGGGGGAGGGGTTCATCTTTTAAAAGATTGTTTCCATGTCTTTTTCACTTATCATCCTTTCCGGTGATTTCATTGCATCTATGGTGAGATCTTATGATCAACCATATTCTTGGGATTTCAGTTTTTGTAGGAATTCAGATAATAGAGAATCTATGGAGTTGACATATCTTCTTAATTTGCTTAATAGTTCTTCATTGAATCCAGAGTTAAATGATCAGACAAGATGGAAAATTGAATCATTACGTGTTTTTTCTTGGAAATACTTATTTGCTTTTTTGATGGATGAATCTTTTTGTCCTATCTTATTCTTGGTTTGATGATTTGGAAGGCTAAAGTGCGTATTAAGGTACAAGTTTTTGTATGGGTTGTTGCACATAGAAAGATTAACACTACTGATATGCTTCAAAATAGAAGACCTATTGGTTTTTTTTTCCCTCAGCTGTCTGTGATGTGTAAGGGTGATGTGGTGAGTTTTGATCATCTATTCCTATATTGCCCCATTGCTTTGTCTTTGTTGTATAAGTTGTTTAGTTTAGTTTGGTTGGGTTGATTTGGTTTATTGTCAAATCATCTACTTTGCGATTTGTTGAAGACTTGAATGGATTTGAAAGGCATGCTAAAGGATTAACGTTGTGGAAATGTGCGACTCTTGCTATTTTGGGTCATATGGAAGGAAAGGAATTTAAGAATTTTTGAAGATCGAAGTGAAATGTTAGAAAGGCTGTGGAACTGTTGTATTCATTTCACTGCTTCATTTTGGGATTCGGTGTCAAAGGATTTTAAAAGATATTCCATTTTTTGCTATTTTGGCAAATTGGAGAGTTTCATGTAATTTAGAGCTTTGATATTTTTTTCTTCTGTTGTAGTTTAATTTTCATGTTTGGATTTCATGTTCAACGTTTTTGATGTATTTCCATATTTTATTAATATATCTCAGTTATGTTTCCTATCAAAAAAAAAATTGACACTTGGAACATTATGATAGTGGTTGGATGCCTCTATAGGCTATTGAAACGGGGTATTAGCTTGTGCAGAGACTTGAATCAGACCGAGCCAAGAATAATAATATTTTATTCAGCCTGATTCTTGATAAGACTCATCACTTGCTTAGCTGACATATTAGCGGTGCATTTCTAGTCTAAGCAGTTTGTTGTCCATGGAATTGGAACATCAAGGGATTCTGATGGTTGTGGAAGCATTATTTCAGGGTCTTTTTCATGAGAGTATTGATCGTCAACAAACTGCTTCAACGTGTTTAGGGACAAGGGAAAAGTGTGAATCAAACTTTGATCCCTGACGCAGCATTAGATTTTTAGACAAAATATTTTGTGTGAGGTGCTATGATCCGACTCCACTCCAGTGCACACTAGACTCTCAGTAGATGTCAGCCCCGCCAGTGTGGGCCTTACTCTGTCAGGGAGAACCAGTGCTCTCACTGAGGAGAATGTTGGTCCAAGGTGCTGAAGTGTATTGGCAGTTAATTTAAGATTTAAAGTAAAAGTTTGTCCTTAATCTGGTTGAGTATTGCTTTCATAGGAATAATCATGCAATAACGCAGTAAGTAAAAATGGGATGTCCGAAAAAAGAAAAAAAAAGGATATGTCGAATAGAAAAGGCAGATATGCAAGCAAAACATCACAGGAATTGGCTCATATATATATGTAGCATCAAATTGGCTTTGCTCTTGTTCGTGTTCTATATATTAAAATTTTGTTTGCAACACTTCCAATTTCTACCTCTATTTGTTGCAACATGTACTTTGCTCAATTAATTCATATATGTATCCACAACAAGCAGCAAAAGAATAAGACAAAGCAGAATTTAGTGTAGGTCCCATAGCCTTTCTAAATGAATCATAAGCCTCGGATGAAAGGTTATACTAACAATGTCAATTTAAGTGATGCAGGATTCTAAGAGTTGGCTGAATGTTAATTTACTTAGGTCTGTAACTGAATGTGGGAGTCTATCGAAGTTAAGAGAAGGTAGGCTCAAAAATATGTGATCATTTTTGTACTCATCACCATCCATCCCCAATTTTCATCTATGAAGCCTTAATTTTTTGATTGGGTAATCTGGCTTTTGAAATGGCAAGATCTTGGTTTAATTTTTTGCGCATTTCAAGTGATGCTTTCACTACTGTACAGGTGATTTTATACAGATCAGGGTTGGTGACTGCTGGCTCATCATTTGTTATTGCTGCTTCAATAGCTTTTCTCCCTGATGACTCTTTATTGCATGATTTAATTAAGCAAAACCTTGACTTATTTTATGCACTTGGAGCTGGTGGATTAGGCTTATCGTTGTATTTAATTCACATCTATGTTACTGAGATTAAGCGCACTCTTCAAGCGTTGTGGGCACTTGGAGTTCTTGGATCTGTAGCAACATACATGATCCTTGCTCAACCAGCTCATGAGGACTTAATACAATATGTTCTTGAGAACCCAACAGCTGTATGGTTTGTCGGTCCACTCTTTGCTGCTCTGACGGGACTTGTATTTAAGGAAGGTAGGACTCTGATTATGTTATTGTGTCTTTAATAGTTCAGTTGTGACTTGTGAGCCTATTTTAGCTATATGACACTTTTTAGAAGGAATCTTAAGCTATAAACTATACCTGTGTAGTCTTCTGATTTGGAAACCCTGCAGAGATTGTGGAGTGAATTTCAGTATATGATGGCAAAACTGTAATAAAGATGGAAGATGGAGAAAGTAGAAGCTTACATGTTGATTAATTTTAAAAATCAAGTTGCTCCAACCAACCCCCATCCTATGGTGAAACAAAACCAAACAAAAAAGAGAAAACATCACCAAAAGCTAAACAAACAAGCATACAACTCTCCAAAAAAGGTGTTTTTTACATAATAGGTATTAATTTTTCCCTGTTGTAGAGAAGACTTCTACACCAGCTTATTTGGGAAAAAAGTCTCTGAGAATGAAGAACTAAGAACTGCTGGCAATTTCACTATGCGTGTGGAGTAAAGGGTGTATGGATTTCTGGGGACTTTTTCTTCTTTTTTTTGTCTGTTTTCTTTAACCAACGGAGAGGTCTACAGAAAACATATAATCTTATATTTGATAGCTCACTATGTTTATTATCCAGAACAAAGGTGTATTGGCTTACTTCTCTATAGTGGTGCACACACCGATTCCAATGCATGGTTGATCTTGGCATGGTTGATCATGGCCAGAGGTGTGCCCCCCCTCACTTTTGAATAATTACAAATATAGGTATATGGTAGAAGGCCAATACACAAGAAAATTGATATATTGCCCCCCTTATTTTTCAAAAAAATTATGCAATGGATTGATTTTTCATTAAGTAGTGGCCCACTATCCCCAAAACCAGTTAAATGATTTTTTTTTTTTCTGATAGGGTATAACGGGAGTGAAAGTACTCACTTATATATTGATTGATAGACAACGATTATATTTGATACATTGTCCCTATTCTCTAAAAAATGTTGCATAACTGGCCTTCATTTCTTTTTTTTTTTTTTGGGTAATTTAGCAGTATGTAATCCAGTAACACAATTTAGATGCAAATGGTATAATGTCCTAGCCCAAAACTTTTTTTTTTTTCTCTTTTCCAAGGAATCTATTCTTCAATAAGACGAAAAATGATCTCAACTAATCAAATATATATAATTTTGGGATTTGAAAGAGCATCGTCTTCTAGTTTAATATGATTGTATTGAATTATACAAAATAAAAATTATTTTGTACTTTTTGTCTATATTTGTTAAGGTTAAATGTTCTCGATTTTATGTTTCATTTAGTAACTTCATCTTAAATTTTTGTACATTTCTCATGCTTGAAATTCAAATTTTTTTGTCAATATCTGAATGATGAATGAGATAAAAAGTATCACTTCCAAATCCACTCTTTGTCTTTCCAATCAATAGCTAGAGTACATTTATGAGGCCCATAGGTCATATATTGCATTTGAGCTGTTGTCCATCATTGCCAGAATGTGGCTCCTTTAGTTGTCTTGTCTTCCTTAGTTNGAACATCAAGGGATTCTGATGGTTGTGGAAGCATTATTTCAGGGTCTTTTTCATGAGAGTATTGATCGTCAACAAACTGCTTCAACGTGTTTAGGGACAAGGGAAAAGTGTGAATCAAACTTTGATCCCTGACGCAGCATTAGATTTTTAGACAAAATATTTTGTGTGAGGTGCTATGATCCGACTCCACTCCAGTGCACACTAGACTCTCAGTAGATGTCAGCCCCGCCAGTGTGGGCCTTACTCTGTCAGGGAGAACCAGTGCTCTCACTGAGGAGAATGTTGGTCCAAGGTGCTGAAGTGTATTGGCAGTTAATTTAAGATTTAAAGTAAAAGTTTGTCCTTAATCTGGTTGAGTATTGCNTACTCTGTCAGGGAGAACCAGTGCTCTCACTGAGGAGAATGTTGGTCCAAGGTGCTAAAGTGTACTGGCAGTTAATTTAGGATTTAAAGTAAAAGTTTGTCCTTAATCTGGTTGAGTATTGCTTTCATAGGAATAATCATGCAATAACGCAGTAAGTAAAAATGGGATGTCCGAAAAAAGAAAAAAAAAGGATATGTCGAATAGAAAAGGCAGATATGCAAGCAAAACATCACAGGAATTGGCTCATATATATATGTAGCATCAAATTGGCTTTGCTCTTGTTCGTGTTCTATATATTAAAATTTTGTTTGCAACACTTCCAATTTCTACCTCTATTTGTTGCAACATGTACTTTGCTCAATTAATTCATATATGTATCCACAACAAGCAGCAAAAGAATAAGACAAAGCAGAATTTAGTGTAGGTCCCATAGCCTTTCTAAATGAATCATAAGCCTCGGATGAAAGGTTATACTAACAATGTCAATTTAAGTGATGCAGGATTCTAAGAGTTGGCTGAATGTTAATTTACTTAGGTCTGTAACTGAATGTGGGAGTCTATCGAAGTTAAGAGAAGGTAGGCTCAAAAATATGTGATCATTTTTGTACTCATCACCATCCATCCCCAATTTTCATCTATGAAGCCTTAATTTTTTGATTGGGTAATCTGGCTTTTGAAATGGCAAGATCTTGGTTTAATTTTTTGCGCATTTCAAGTGATGCTTTCACTACTGTACAGGTGATTTTATACAGATCAGGGTTGGTGACTGCTGGCTCATCATTTGTTATTGCTGCTTCAATAGCTTTTCTCCCTGATGACTCTTTATTGCATGATTTAATTAAGCAAAACCTTGACTTATTTTATGCACTTGGAGCTGGTGGATTAGGCTTATCGTTGTATTTAATTCACATCTATGTTACTGAGATTAAGCGCACTCTTCAAGCGTTGTGGGCACTTGGAGTTCTTGGATCTGTAGCAACATACATGATCCTTGCTCAACCAGCTCATGAGGACTTAATACAATATGTTCTTGAGAACCCAACAGCTGTATGGTTTGTCGGTCCACTCTTTGCTGCTCTGACGGGACTTGTATTTAAGGAAGGTAGGACTCTGATTATGTTATTGTGTCTTTAATAGTTCAGTTGTGACTTGTGAGCCTATTTTAGCTATATGACACTTTTTAGAAGGAATCTTAAGCTATAAACTATACCTGTGTAGTCTTCTGATTTGGAAACCCTGCAGAGATTGTGGAGTGAATTTCAGTATATGATGGCAAAACTGTAATAAAGATGGAAGATGGAGAAAGTAGAAGCTTACATGTTGATTAATTTTAAAAATCAAGTTGCTCCAACCAACCCCCATCCTATGGTGAAACAAAACCAAACAAAAAAGAGAAAACATCACCAAAAGCTAAACAAACAAGCATACAACTCTCCAAAAAAGGTGTTTTTTACATAATAGGTATTAATTTTTCCCTGTTGTAGAGAAGACTTCTACACCAGCTTATTTGGGAAAAAAGTCTCTGAGAATGAAGAACTAAGAACTGCTGGCAATTTCACTATGCGTGTGGAGTAAAGGGTGTATGGATTTCTGGGGACTTTTTCTTCTTTTTTTTGTCTGTTTTCTTTAACCAACGGAGAGGTCTACAGAAAACATATAATCTTATATTTGATAGCTCACTATGTTTATTATCCAGAACAAAGGTGTATTGGCTTACTTCTCTATAGTGGTGCACACACCGATTCCAATGCATGGTTGATCTTGGCATGGTTGATCATGGCCAGAGGTGTGCCCCCCCTCACTTTTGAATAATTACAAATATAGGTATATGGTAGAAGGCCAATACACAAGAAAATTGATATATTGCCCCCCTTATTTTTCAAAAAAATTATGCAATGGATTGATTTTTCATTAAGTAGTGGCCCACTATCCCCAAAACCAGTTAAATGATTTTTTTTTTTCTGATAGGGTATAACGGGAGTGAAAGTACTCACTTATATATTGATTGATAGACAACGATTATATTTGATACATTGTCCCTATTCTCTAAAAAATGTTGCATAACTGGCCTTCATTTCTTTTTTTTTTTTTTGGGTAATTTAGCAGTATGTAATCCAGTAACACAATTTAGATGCAAATGGTATAATGTCCTAGCCCAAAACTTTTTTTTTTTTCTCTTTTCCAAGGAATCTATTCTTCAATAAGACGAAAAATGATCTCAACTAATCAAATATATATAATTTTGGGATTTGAAAGAGCATCGTCTTCTAGTTTAATATGATTGTATTGAATTATACAAAATAAAAATTATTTTGTACTTTTTGTCTATATTTGTTAAGGTTAAATGTTCTCGATTTTATGTTTCATTTAGTAACTTCATCTTAAATTTTTGTACATTTCTCATGCTTGAAATTCAAATTTTTTTGTCAATATCTGAATGATGAATGAGATAAAAAGTATCACTTCCAAATCCACTCTTTGTCTTTCCAATCAATAGCTAGAGTACATTTATGAGGCCCATAGGTCATATATTGCATTTGAGCTGTTGTCCATCATTGCCAGAATGTGGCTCCTTTAGTTGTCTTGTCTTCCTTAGTTACTGTAGGTGAGGTTCTTTTTGCAAACTCTGTCCCTCATCTGGTGACTAAGACACAGGGATGCCTTTTGTACTTTTCTATGTATTTTCCAAATGGCTTAATCTATTAAGAGCTTAACCACTGTTCCACAAGCCCCCGGACTAATGGAAACTAATTTGGTTAAGTTTTTGGCATGATTGTAACACAATCCTCCTCTTGTCATTTGTCTAGATATGTTTGCCCTTTGACAGTGACCAAGTATTTGCTTTTTCTTTGGTTTTCATATACTATTCTCTCTTATTTTCTTGTGTTTTTATTTTTTCATGGGTGTTGGCTTTTATGTAATCAGATAAAATGAATAATGTTTTGAGTATTTTTCGTTCTGCTATCCTCATCAACCAACTCATTCCTCTAAGTATATGGCTGACAGCTAAAACTGCCACAGTGATAATCTTATTTGCGTCAGTCTCCTCCGCCAAATAATGTTCATTCTTTTAAAAACCTCTACTGAAACTTCATTTTTTTGTTTTTGAAACCGCCTATTCCATTCAATCTTTTTTTTTTATCACGGTCCATGCCATTTTCTTGTGAGGTTGTTCAGGTTAATTACATTTATCTTTGAAACAGGCCTTTGCTATGGGAAGTTCGAAGCTGGTCTTCTCACGTTCGTCATTCCCTCTGTTCTGCTGGGGCACCTGGTACTCCTCTTAAAGCTGTCCACAAAATGCCTCCGTTAAGTTTCTGTTGTGTGTTATCGAACATCAATGCTTTATAAGGACCTTGTGTTGTGTGTTATCAAACATCAATGCTTTATAAGGAGCTTGTGTTTTGGTGTTAGAACTTCTGTTTCCAAGGTCCCAAAATGGAAATTTGGTTCACTATTTTCCCAGTCAATGGTAGGAAAGCTTAGCAGCAGCTAGCAGTAGCTGCATGCTGTTGCTATTTCAGAATTTCAATATGATTGCATACGTATGTATATATGCAACAAATGTGGAACACTGCTTAAAACTGTTCCCCATGCAGAATTGTCTAGTTNGCTTTCATAGGAATAATCATGCAATAACGCAGTAAGTAAAAATGGGATGTCCGAAAAAAGAAAAAAAAAGGATATGTCGAATAGAAAAGGCAGATATGCAAGCAAAACATCACAGGAATTGGCTCATATATATATGTAGCATCAAATTGGCTTTGCTCTTGTTCGTGTTCTATATATTAAAATTTTGTTTGCAACACTTCCAATTTCTACCTCTATTTGTTGCAACATGTACTTTGCTCAATTAATTCATATATGTATCCACAACAAGCAGCAAAAGAATAAGACAAAGCAGAATTTAGTGTAGGTCCCATAGCCTTTCTAAATGAATCATAAGCCTCGGATGAAAGGTTATACTAACAATGTCAATTTAAGTGATGCAGGATTCTAAGAGTTGGCTGAATGTTAATTTACTTAGGTCTGTAACTGAATGTGGGAGTCTATCGAAGTTAAGAGAAGGTAGGCTCAAAAATATGTGATCATTTTTGTACTCATCACCATCCATCCCCAATTTTCATCTATGAAGCCTTAATTTTTTGATTGGGTAATCTGGCTTTTGAAATGGCAAGATCTTGGTTTAATTTTTTGCGCATTTCAAGTGATGCTTTCACTACTGTACAGGTGATTTTATACAGATCAGGGTTGGTGACTGCTGGCTCATCATTTGTTATTGCTGCTTCAATAGCTTTTCTCCCTGATGACTCTTTATTGCATGATTTAATTAAGCAAAACCTTGACTTATTTTATGCACTTGGAGCTGGTGGATTAGGCTTATCGTTGTATTTAATTCACATCTATGTTACTGAGATTAAGCGCACTCTTCAAGCGTTGTGGGCACTTGGAGTTCTTGGATCTGTAGCAACATACATGATCCTTGCTCAACCAGCTCATGAGGACTTAATACAATATGTTCTTGAGAACCCAACAGCTGTATGGTTTGTCGGTCCACTCTTTGCTGCTCTGACGGGACTTGTATTTAAGGAAGGTAGGACTCTGATTATGTTATTGTGTCTTTAATAGTTCAGTTGTGACTTGTGAGCCTATTTTAGCTATATGACACTTTTTAGAAGGAATCTTAAGCTATAAACTATACCTGTGTAGTCTTCTGATTTGGAAACCCTGCAGAGATTGTGGAGTGAATTTCAGTATATGATGGCAAAACTGTAATAAAGATGGAAGATGGAGAAAGTAGAAGCTTACATGTTGATTAATTTTAAAAATCAAGTTGCTCCAACCAACCCCCATCCTATGGTGAAACAAAACCAAACAAAAAAGAGAAAACATCACCAAAAGCTAAACAAACAAGCATACAACTCTCCAAAAAAGGTGTTTTTTACATAATAGGTATTAATTTTTCCCTGTTGTAGAGAAGACTTCTACACCAGCTTATTTGGGAAAAAAGTCTCTGAGAATGAAGAACTAAGAACTGCTGGCAATTTCACTATGCGTGTGGAGTAAAGGGTGTATGGATTTCTGGGGACTTTTTCTTCTTTTTTTTGTCTGTTTTCTTTAACCAACGGAGAGGTCTACAGAAAACATATAATCTTATATTTGATAGCTCACTATGTTTATTATCCAGAACAAAGGTGTATTGGCTTACTTCTCTATAGTGGTGCACACACCGATTCCAATGCATGGTTGATCTTGGCATGGTTGATCATGGCCAGAGGTGTGCCCCCCCTCACTTTTGAATAATTACAAATATAGGTATATGGTAGAAGGCCAATACACAAGAAAATTGATATATTGCCCCCCTTATTTTTCAAAAAAATTATGCAATGGATTGATTTTTCATTAAGTAGTGGCCCACTATCCCCAAAACCAGTTAAATGATTTTTTTTTTTCTGATAGGGTATAACGGGAGTGAAAGTACTCACTTATATATTGATTGATAGACAACGATTATATTTGATACATTGTCCCTATTCTCTAAAAAATGTTGCATAACTGGCCTTCATTTCTTTTTTTTTTTTTTGGGTAATTTAGCAGTATGTAATCCAGTAACACAATTTAGATGCAAATGGTATAATGTCCTAGCCCAAAACTTTTTTTTTTTTCTCTTTTCCAAGGAATCTATTCTTCAATAAGACGAAAAATGATCTCAACTAATCAAATATATATAATTTTGGGATTTGAAAGAGCATCGTCTTCTAGTTTAATATGATTGTATTGAATTATACAAAATAAAAATTATTTTGTACTTTTTGTCTATATTTGTTAAGGTTAAATGTTCTCGATTTTATGTTTCATTTAGTAACTTCATCTTAAATTTTTGTACATTTCTCATGCTTGAAATTCAAATTTTTTTGTCAATATCTGAATGATGAATGAGATAAAAAGTATCACTTCCAAATCCACTCTTTGTCTTTCCAATCAATAGCTAGAGTACATTTATGAGGCCCATAGGTCATATATTGCATTTGAGCTGTTGTCCATCATTGCCAGAATGTGGCTCCTTTAGTTGTCTTGTCTTCCTTAGTTACTGTAGGTGAGGTTCTTTTTGCAAACTCTGTCCCTCATCTGGTGACTAAGACACAGGGATGCCTTTTGTACTTTTCTATGTATTTTCCAAATGGCTTAATCTATTAAGAGCTTAACCACTGTTCCACAAGCCCCCGGACTAATGGAAACTAATTTGGTTAAGTTTTTGGCATGATTGTAACACAATCCTCCTCTTGTCATTTGTCTAGATATGTTTGCCCTTTGACAGTGACCAAGTATTTGCTTTTTCTTTGGTTTTCATATACTATTCTCTCTTATTTTCTTGTGTTTTTATTTTTTCATGGGTGTTGGCTTTTATGTAATCAGATAAAATGAATAATGTTTTGAGTATTTTTCGTTCTGCTATCCTCATCAACCAACTCATTCCTCTAAGTATATGGCTGACAGCTAAAACTGCCACAGTGATAATCTTATTTGCGTCAGTCTCCTCCGCCAAATAATGTTCATTCTTTTAAAAACCTCTACTGAAACTTCATTTTTTTGTTTTTGAAACCGCCTATTCCATTCAATCTTTTTTTTTTATCACGGTCCATGCCATTTTCTTGTGAGGTTGTTCAGGTTAATTACATTTATCTTTGAAACAGGCCTTTGCTATGGGAAGTTCGAAGCTGGTCTTCTCACGTTCGTCATTCCCTCTGTTCTGCTGGGGCACCTGGTACTCCTCTTAAAGCTGTCCACAAAATGCCTCCGTTAAGTTTCTGTTGTGTGTTATCGAACATCAATGCTTTATAAGGACCTTGTGTTGTGTGTTATCAAACATCAATGCTTTATAAGGAGCTTGTGTTTTGGTGTTAGAACTTCTGTTTCCAAGGTCCCAAAATGGAAATTTGGTTCACTATTTTCCCAGTCAATGGTAGGAAAGCTTAGCAGCAGCTAGCAGTAGCTGCATGCTGTTGCTATTTCAGAATTTCAATATGATTGCATACGTATGTATATATGCAACAAATGTGGAACACTGCTTAAAACTGTTCCCCATGCAGAATTGTCTAGTTCATCCACTATTTAGTAATATTAGCAGTAGCATTAAAGGACCTGCTCAACTATCCGATTTGCTATCAATTGAATTCGTCATTGAAAATTGAATAGTATAACATNTTCATCCACTATTTAGTAATATTAGCAGTAGCATTAAAGGACCTGCTCAACTATCCTATTTGCTATCAATTGAATTCGTCATTGAAAATTGAATAGATGGGAAGATCTTTTATCCATGCCGAATTCCTGACCCAATCAAAAATTCCATGATTTGTCATTCTTTTTTCTTCTTTTCATTGCATTTTGAGGCTAGTTTCCATATGTTTCTAGTTGTTTATCCATTTTAGGTGGTGGCTAACTTTGAGAGTAAAAATGAACTTCTGGACCTCATTATTTTCCACATATTATCTAAGAACCTTAACATTCACCAACATCTTGGGCAATGGACTTCTATTTCTTGATTCAAAACTTCATTTCTTCTGGACCATAATGGACTGCATAGGAATTTACAGACTGGTTTGATGGATGATGGAGTAAAAGTTACTTTGTTGGGTGTGTGGATGGCACTCTTTCTGATATTTGCTGGACGAAAGTTCACTCAGCCTATCAAGGTAGGTCCTTTTCATTCATTGAATTGCATTTACTTAAAAAATTGTGATTTTTGTAATTCTGCCTGGTTGCCATTTGTGCACGTAATATCAGATATCAAGACATGCACCGTTATTCTTTCATTTAATTCTCAGGATGATATAGGAGACAAATCTGTTTTCATGTTCAATGCTCTCCCAGAAAAGGAAAAGAAGGTTCTGATTGAGAAACTTGAGCAACAAAAGTACATTCAAAATCTTGATTAGGCACAGGAAATAACTCAGTTCACATAAGAAATTGCACGAGGGATATTTGGTAAATGTATATATTGTTTGGGATGATCTGACTGCCTGACGAAATATTCTTGTAATAACATATGAATAAGAGCTTGACATTGCATTGTGAGTGCTTATGGAATATATATTATAGATTGGCTGATTCTAATTTGATAGCCTGAAGATAACTTGACCTTGTAGGTGTACAGTTTACTAATGTTAATGGTTTTCTTTTTCGGTTAAGAAACATAATAAGAAGTCATCTTCTTTGTGTTTTTTTTTGGTTTAATCAGGTAGTGTACAAGGAACAGTATCATTTACTACTTCATATTCTGCTCCCCATTTGCTGGCCAAGCCAAACCTGATCTTATTATTACATTTCTCTCAGCTTCATTTTCAGCTGGTTAAGTGGAATTGTGGACCCGTCCTATATACCTTTTCTTTTCTAAATTGCTTTTGTTGGTAACTTAGAAATTTTTACTCCATTGTTTTAGATCTTTGTGAGGTCTTGTATCCTTCTGGGCCTTAGAAAATTCTTCATTAATTTTAGCACAATGCAAAAAAAAAATAGATACTAGAAGAATATGAATGGCATTTTTTAAGAAATACTGATTGTTTAGGTGACAGTTTTGCCATAAGCCTTTTGTAGTCCATGGTGTATTTATTTATTGGTTTTCCGGCGGCCAAAAAGTTTGGAATGGTCATTACAAATGTCTCAAAGAGGGGACCTTCACAAGAGCTCATTTTTTTTTCCCAAGAATTCATTTAGGTTGTGTTTTCAGAGCTTAGATCTGCATTTAAACAAAACGCAAAGATTTATTTGATTGATAGCCTACTAAATGTTGATTACCGGTGAATTGAGGGTTGTTACTTGAAATCCTTTCAACTAAGAAGTTTTCTGGCACCCAGAATCTACCAAATGAGATCACAACCTCCTGTCTTTCTCTCTTTCAACAATAATCCATAATCCACAGATTCACAAAATTGAACCAGAAATCAGCTCTTTTCAAATTCACCGTTCAAGCAGTACATTTTATGGTTTTAGCATCACTAAACTTGGTAAGTTGCACCCACTAAAGCAGCAATATTACATAGTTTAAGTAATAGTTAACCATTCCATGAGATATAATTCATTTCATCCCAACTCCAAAGCCATCACAGAAGAACAATACAGAATACCAGCCCCTTTCTGGAGATTACACAGACGCAACACCAAAAGAAAAAACATCTCTCCAAATAGAACATACAATGACGAGCATGCAACATGCCAGAAGAGCACGTAAAACCACCCTTGTCCTCTTTTTCAAAAAACTACAGGAAGACCACAAAAGACTGGTACAATAACTGAACAGAAATCAATAGTTTGAATTCATCATCATCCCCCACTGATGTAGCGGCTCTTTTGCTTCTGGTATTTCACACAAGTATCCAGAGTTAATATGCAGATGCCATGACAAGCCTTTTTCTGCTTGTAAGTTCTCTTCCCTTTTGTCACCAACAGCAGTCTTTTGTGATTCTATCCTCTGTCAGAAATTTCAGATTTGATAGGGTTAATTCAAATACAAACATCTGCAGACTCTGGCTTCATCTTTTTGGGTGACACCACTTTGCATTATTTTGCTCATATGTCTGCTAAAATTTGACTTTATCTTAAGGTTTCATAATGCCTATTATGCCTTCCTTGTCTTCCTCCACAGTATCTGGAATTTCAGAATTTATATTGCAGTTCTCTTTATCTCCAGCAGCAACTGCATCAGATTTTCCATCATTGCCCTCAGTTTCTTCACCATGATGCACATTTGTCCCATCTTTGCCATCAATTTCGTCACAAGACTCCACATCTTCCTCCTCTTTGGTCTGAGACTGGAGCGATTCTATCACTTTCATCAACTCTCTGTTGACCTGTCATGAATAAAGCATTGTCAAGGACAAAAAAATGATTTTAATTTTTATCCTGCCATAACAAATTGCTGCATGAAAGAGTCACCATAATGCTACTGGGGTGACAAAAATCACATATCGTCTTATCAAACATAGAATGCAAATAAATGACTGCTATAAACAGCACCAAACTAATTTCAGATGCTACATTAAGTAGAGTATTTCGTTCGTTTAAATCTGGTCTTTTTCCTTAAATAGTTTAAGATGACTCGACTCAACAAAACTATCATCACACAACTAACCTGAAACACCAGGGTGAAGATTATACGGTCATACCTGTGGATTCTGAAGGAAATCAGTTATGTCATTGGAGCAAGATGGGCATCTCATAATATTCTTCTGCGCTCGTAATGTTCGTCCACCTTCACTCGTCCTCCGTCTTATTGTAGATTGACCAACAAAAACACCCTCCAAACAAGCCTTGCAGAAATTATGAGCGCAGGGAGTAGTAATTGGGAGATTCATCACTTTGCGGCAGAGAAGGCAGCTAAACTCTGTGAATGAATACCTTATGTCATTAACATGTCTTTGGGATATTATTGAGAAGAACACGGCAACAGTTGAATTATAGCCACACAGAAATTCGTATCTGATGGCATTGTTTCAAAAGTAAGGAAAATGTATTTTACAAATAAGGAATGAAAAAGAAAACCACACCTTTCAAAAGCTTTTCTCTTACAGACGTATGTGCTTGGCGTCTAACTTTCCTTGTGCTATTTCCGTCCTCTTTATATTCCCTGTCCATTTGTTTTCTACTTAATGGTGGAGATTTTTTCCACATCCAGCAACCTTTTTCCACCTGCATGGCAGGAAAAAAAAGGCATCTGAATATAAGAGGTGTTCCAATCCCCTGCACGCATATAGAAATAACGGGAAATATGAACCCACATCATAATCCCAGGAAGGGTTTCCCTTTCTTTCTGTAATGTCAGTTGCATTCGTCAACTCCTTAATTATGGGCAAAGGCCTTGGAAGGTCCCCATGATCATCACTGCAGATTTTGAAGGAAATAAATTAAGCACAAACACGTTGGGCGTGCTTGTGTGAGTATTTTTTGGGGGTGGTGAGGTGATTACAAAGGCAATAACAAACCTTGTCCATGGGGCAGGGTCATTATCACATCGGACAAAAAGATATCTGCATACCTTAAATCCCTAATACAAAGGAACTGTCAGCAGATAAATTTAGCAGCAAACATGCCTANTAACAAACCTTGTCCATGGGGCAGGGTCATTATCACATCGGACAAAAAGATATCTGCATACCTTAAATCCCTAATACAAAGGAACTGTCAGCAGATAAATTTAGCAGCAAACATTCTCTAGAATATATTTCAAATTACTAGCAACTGTTTTACTTGAATTCCAACTTTGCGCCAACATTTCTCAATCCTGTAGATCCCATCATATCTTACGCCAGTTTCGGGTGCATAAGAAGAGCGTTTCTCTTTATGGGACCTGAACATTGGGAGGGGGCTGGTTTAAGAAATAGAGAAAAATCACCCGCAAATGGAAAATAAAGCTCCACAAATCATTCAGAAATTAGTTTGTCAGTTTTGGACCACTAAAGTACTCAGCATAGCACCGGTAACATAAATAATGACCACACTAAGAATTACAAACGACTTTTTAATGCCCACATATAACTAGGCAATTTAATATAAGATCTTCAATTCTTCATCAACTAAACACTACATTTAGGATGAAGAAGGGAATAGGAGGGATAGGAATGAAATCCGTACTTTTTCGATGTTTTTTTTATGATTGCACTCTCAAAACATAAAAATGCATGGACGGTCTGATCCTGATGAAAAATATTTCTTATCTTATGAAAAAGATGCATATAATGTAACACTTGCCGCTTTCCCTGTGGGTATCAAAACTAATACATTTCTCAAACATGCACACCTAACTACTTCCTCAATTATGCAATTTACTAAGGGAATGTCCATACTTAGAACACCTGACTGTTCCGAAGTGTAGTATATTTTGTGTTAATATCTACTTTCTATCTTAGTAGTTGCTCCAATGTACACAGCCTAAACTATCTCGCAAACACTAAATTAAAAGATAATGAGATGCAAACTCAAAACACTTATTTAATAGAACATGAGATGCAAACTCAGCAGAGATTTGATTTCAATGTTATCAATGGTCACGTTCTATCCACATAAACACAGCTCACCTCACGACTCGGACAGGATAGCCAATCCGGCAACTGACTCGTAAGGCCTCATTAAGTTTGTCAAACTTCTGATCGAATGATTGTGTTTTGTTTGTCCTTTTGTTCCCACTAAGGTCTCTTCCACCACTGTCCATCAAGAATCAGAAGAGATAGATAAGAATGAAAAACTCCAAAACGTAAGAAAGAACAAGAAGCAGAAAACAAATGGTGTATATGAGTAAAGGCTAGGAATTAAACAGAATAACAGGGTTGTTAGCCATTTATCCTTCCCTGCTCAGCTAGCGAAGCCTACTACCTCCTCAATGCAATAAACTGCATGGCCTGTGGTTGAAGTATGTTGTCAACAATATCCCAAAGTTTCCAGAGAAAACAAACATTATGGTACAACGTTGGCCCAAAGCATAATCAAAGTCCAAGGCAAAACAAATGATTCCAGTGGGCACACTAACAATAGCAATCATGTAACAGAAGCATGAATGAAAATAAGAAATTTATCATAATGTAAACAAAGCATGTTGTCACCCACTTGGAACTAAACAGCTCAGTGAAAATAAAGCCACGGTGAACAATTTTGACAAGTGACTAGGGAACCAAACACAGTTACTATAGCATGGGAATGAAAAATGGGCTCGACTGGTGCTCAGGGATTATACATACAATTCAACCACACAAGTCAAGGGTCCAAGTCATACACTCTTATCCAACATGTATAATGAAGTAAGTTTAATTTGTTATTTTTGAAAAAATTTAACAATAGACATGTTTGTTAAACCATAGCACAAGGTAATAATTCAACAAGAAAGTAGCCTTACACAGTTTTGTGGAAGGAATTGTGGATTTAAAGTTAACACATTGCATGGACATGTCACCACAGATACTATAGTATGACACGGCTGATGCATCTAAGAGCCTACCTTCCTGTGTAGACAAACCATTCACCATGGTCTTCGTCATCTTCATAGCCCCCAGAGAGTGCCACAGACTGGGCCCCATAGTCTGTCTGGCCGGCAATGCCTGCAACATGAGGAAGGTGAGCTCCCCACTGCCTGCATTCCATTCGATCCTCCCAAATCTCCCCAACCAACACACCCTGGTTTCTACCTGGGTCATTCTCTGCCAAAATTGGTCCAAAATGATCTGGAGGGACAGTGACAAATATCTTTCCACTACAGGCATTCGACTTTCCAGCTCTCTTTGCACGCTCAGTGGTGTACGCTTTGTCAGGTCGGTCTTGGTTATGAACAAAATGGTAGACCTTGGCTGCCCCAAATGAAGCATTAGATTTTGACATCTTGGCCATTCGGATGGCAATGACAAGGGCGGAGTTGATTCGAGGCTGGCTTGCCATCTTTTGTGGGATTGCATTGCGGCAATTTGCACAAGTCCGTTTCCCCTGTCCAACCCATTTCTGGAAGCACTTGAGGCAGAAATTGTGGCCACACGGTGTCTGGAAAAAGAATACAGAATGTCATGAAACCAAGCCAACCAGCAAGTAGCTTGAAGGCTTGAACTAAAAGCTGCTTTCTTTTACTAATGAGCCAAGTGTAAACTTATATACAAAATGGATTCGTGAAGACGTTATGTATTAAAATCACCACAAAGTGAGTCATCAACACAAGTTATGTGTTTTTGTATGTATCCTTTACAAAATCATGTAAAAATGTGATATTGTGTATACCTTTTCACGGTAATTAAAAATTTTAGGAGCCTCCAGTAAACTACAGTATGGGAAATGGTGTTTGATACTAGTAGTAAAGCTATTTTAAGAAAAACAATAGACAATGTTGTTTTTAGAGATATCAATTGATAAAAGAATGCCCACAAAAAACAACAGATAGACTGTTTTTTACTAATGGCATGGCAGGAATGCATGGTCACTTACACCATGCGGGGTATCTACAGTAGTAATGTGTGAAGGAGCCACCCGATTAGAGCAACTCCATTCACTACTTGCACCTATTTCAAGCAAACCTTGTCAACTCCGAGTAAAAATGAAATCAGGGAGCCGAAGTTGAAAGTATTCGATAAAAAAAAAAAAATCAGTGGGTAGATCGACGGATTGATTCTTAAATGTATTCATTGTTCATCCCTGAACCCACCCTGGTGGGCACATTATTTAGTGGTTCTTTCAATGTTTGAGAATGCTTTAAAGACATATCCGGTTAGTATTTGGAAGAACATACACAATAGTTGTGGCTTGGCTTTTTGTAAGGAATGCACATACCGTGACAGGCCTCTCCGGGAGCTGCATGCAAAACGAGCAATTCAGACTTTCATCGAGAAGATCTAGGACATCGTTATTCTTCTCCTTCTTGTGATTAGCCTCTTCAGTATCATTGGATTTGGCGCCTCCGCTCAGGAGATCTTGTCGTCTCTTGGCCTTCTCTGGCTCAGTAAGCGTCTGGTCCGACTCAATGGCACGAATCGCCGCAATCAAGTCACCTGACGCTTCAGATCCGCCGGTGACAATGGATGGCGCCGTATTTTCATCGGCGACGAACGAGCAGTCCGGGCACTCCCACTGTAATGTCTCGGCGATGGTTTTGGGACCAACAGAGAGGCAGTCGACGTGCCAGGGAGTGGTACATGTCTTGCACACGAGGGTCTCGTCCACCGAAGGCTTCTTCTTGCAGACCATGCAAATGCCGTCGCCGTCGCAGGGGAGGTCGCTATCGTGCGCCATGGGAAGTGTATGTTAGGCAAGGGAACAAGAGGAGAGAGTAAGGCACTAAAGCAGTGGTGAGTGGATGAAGTCTCTCAATTTGAGAGAGAGGAGATTTGAAGTGGGCGGGAATTTGAAATGAAATTAGATATTTTTGGAGATTGATTTTGAATTTTCCCTCTTCTTCCTCTGCTTGGACTTGGGGCATCACACCAACACATGGGAAATTTTCTGCTTTGCTTCAGTTGATCAATTACAGTAATGGGTGTTTGGATCCCATGGGAGGATTGAGTTGAATTGGATTCAAATCTGAATTCAATCTACTCAATGTAAAGTAGTCTAGGTTGATTCATCCTTAACGGGGTGTTTGACAAAGTTTTGACATATAGGATAGGATTGGTTTTGTAATCTAAACATATCCAATAAAAACTCAATAACTCGGATATAGATGAAGAGATTTAATCATATACTTGATTTGACAAGTGATTTGATATATTATGAGGCTCACATACGAAATATAATATTTATTGGTTAAATCTCTTCACTTTCACATTAAATTATAATTTTAACCTTCANAGAGAGGAGATTTGAAGTGGGCGGGAATTTGAAATGAAATTAGATATTTTTGGAGATTGATTTTGAATTTTCCCTCTTCTTCCTCTGCTTGGACTTGGAGCATCACACCAACACATGGGAAATTTTCTGCTTTGCTTCAGTTGATCAATTACAGTAAAGGGTGTTTGGATCCCATGGGAGGATTGAGTTGAATTGGATTCAAATCTGAATTCAATCTACTCAATGTAAAGTAGTCTAGGTTGATTCATCCTTAACGGGGTGTTTGACAAAGTTTTGACATATAGGATAGGATTGGTTTTGTAATCTAAACATATCCAATAAAAACTCAATAACTCGGATATAGATGAAGAGATTTAATCATATACTTGATTTGACAAGTGATTTGGTATATTATGGGGCTCACAGACAAAACATAGTATTTGTTGGTCAAATCTCTTCACTTTCACATTAAATTATAATTTTAACCTTTACTCCTATCCAATTCAAATTCATGTTTGGCTTTGAAAATTTATTAATGTTGTCCACCTTTATATTTATTTCATTTTTCATTTATCTCACCATGGGAAAAGATCGAACATAATTTGATTTGATTTTTTTTTTTTAGTTTACGATTGTAAGTATCTAAGTATAACTAGGATCATAGTGTGAAGAAATCATGGAGTTGAGGATGGAAGCAAAAAAAAAACCACATGTTTTCGTCGTGAATAGAGAGGGAGATTTGGGGGGGGGGGGGAGGGAGAATTTGAAGCTATCCCTTTTACACAACAA